GAATTGAGTCCAGAATCTGACTACCTCCCACAAAGGCATTCTGAGAGTCAGAAATGACTCCATCCAACGCCTTCCTCAATCTATTAGCAAGAACTTTGGCAATCAACTTATAAATGCACCCCACCAAACTAATATGGCGAAAATCCCTAACATCCAACGCCCCTCCTTTTTTGGGAATGAGGGCGATGAAAGTGGCATTCAAGCTCTTTTCAAAAGAGCCCCGAGTGTGGAAAGCATGAAAAGTGCCCAGCACTTCCCCTTTAACCACCTCCCAGCACTCCAAAAGAAATCTCATAGTAAACCCATCAGGACCTGGGGCTTTATCCCCGTTATAGCTCTTCAAAGCAACCAACATCTCCTCTCAAGAAAAAAGCGCCTCCAGACCGGAGCCCTCCTCACTAGAGATAGAATTAAATTGGAGCCCCTCAAGCAAAAGTCTCCACCCAACAGACTCTGTGAAAAGCTTCGCATAGAACTTAACGATACCCTTGCAAATCTCATCCTCCTTGCACAATAACTCTCCTTCCACCCGAATCCTACCAATATGATTGCCCCTACAATGGGCGTTGGCTAAGCGATGGAAAAACTTCGTGTTCCTGTCACCTTCCTTAAGCCACAAAGCACGAGACTTTTGTCTCCACGAAATCTCCTCCATAATAGCAATCTTAGCAAATTCCGCTTGACATTCCACCCTCCTAGGCTTCAGGGAGTCCGCCAGGACCCCTTGACCTTCCATCCGGTCAATATCAGCAATCTTAGAAAAGACCCGACTTTTCCTCCAAATAAGATTCTCGAAGACCTCCTTGTTCCAAATCTTGATGTCTTCCTTAAGAAGACGCAAGTGAACTGCGAGCAAATGGCTTAGGGTACCGTCCCCCCTAAACCCATCCTACCAAACTCGAACTCTATCCAGAAAACCTTCAGTACGAAGCCACATATTCTTGAATCTGAATGGAGATCGTCTTCTACGCAACCCACCACAATCCAACATCAACGGAACATGGTCAGAAATAGGGCGAGCCAAAGTAGCCTGAACAACATCAGAAAACTTCTCCTCCCAGTCTCCCGACACAAGGAATCTATCGAGTCGAGAGAAGGTAGGAGGAGAATGACCACTAGACCAAGTAAAAGGCCCTCCCTCCAAAGGCAAGTCAACCAGCCCAGAATCATCAATGAAAGCCGAAAAGGACTCCATGTCAGATGTCCACCTTCCCCCCGACGATCTCTCAAAAGGGGAGCGAACAACATTGAAATCTCCTCCAATACACCACGGCAACAACCAATGCCCACCACAATCTCCCAGCTCCTCCTATAACATTGGCCTTGCCAGATCATCCGTAGGCCCATACACACCCGAAAAACCCAATGGAAACCATCCTCCACCATAGAGAACACACGTGAAACAGAGAAATTCCCAATCGGAATCCACCAAAGACACCCATCTGCTATCCCATAAAACAAGAACACCACCCGCAGAGCCATTGGCATCCAAGGCACACCACTTCACAAATCTCCCACCCCAAATTTTTCGCACAATCAAATCCGTCATCGAAGCAATCTTGGTTTCTTGCAAACACACCACACGACCTCCCCCTTTACGAATAACCAACTTCACCACTTTCCTTTTCACCGGGTCATTTAGACCACGCACATTCCATGACAAGATTTGAAGCTTCATAGGGAAACAATAGCAAAGTCCGTCCCACTCCTCCTCCCATTGTCCCTCTTCCTGGACCCCCTATTCCGCCTTTCATAAGTAACAAGATCCGTGGATCTCCGCACCTCCCTCTCAGCTGCCCCTTCCTGAACACCACCCCTACCTCCCATTCTTTCAAAAAGCTGTGAATTTAGGATACCATGAAACATACTCAACGCCTCCTCCATTCTCCCTTCAAAAGACACTCCCAAAAGAGAGCCCACCTCCCCCCCTTTTTCTCGAAACCACTCCTCCTCTAAATCCCCCCTTCCAACAACAGCAGCAACACCTTCCGAACACTCCTCTTCTGGTCGAATGACAGCCAAAGGAACACACGACTCCACAGCCTGCTCAGCTCCTTCCCACTGAATCAACCCCAGCTCCCCATCAAGAGAAGAAAATGAGACTCCCTCCCAATCCTCAGGAACAGAGGTGGAAGGAGCGCAACCATCCATCGGAGTCCCAAATTCCTCGTCAGAAAGAAGGCCCCCTGGCTCAGCCTGAAAGTCTTTCAACGCCAAGTGAACCCGTAGGTCCTTTAACAAAGCAGCGGCAGAAACATCATCCAAACAAATCTGTACATCCCATCCCACACATACAGTGACACCCTCCCGCATCTTGTCAAGAGACTCCACGGATCCCACCAAACAACCCTGTCCATCACAATTCTGCTCAGCCAACCGCTTCTCCGATGCTGCCTCAAAAACCGGAGACAACCTTTTGGAAAAAGAGGACAGCCTTCCTTCCCCAATCCGGCACACCGCTTTGTCACTCCACAAGGAGGAGAAGAAGAGGAAGAGGAAGGATGAAGAACAGAGCATCTCGGCTGAGAGGTGGACTTACCCGGAGATGAAGTAGACGTGTTATTCACCACCCATTTCTGTTTCTCCTTGCGTGACCATCTCCGTCGGATTGCAGGGAGAAGAATTTTCTTCTTATTTCTCAGCCGGCGACCTTGCAAAGGCCGCATCTCACGCCTTCCGTCCTTTAAAAAATCAGAATTCTTAAAACCAGGTCCGTCAGATGAAGGAGCAGGTCCATCAGATGAAACGGGTCCATCAGTTGAAGAAAAAGGCTCACATCTATTGGCCACCGTCGGCCCAGAGTCAACAGAATTGAGACGCGGCCCACCCTTCAGATTGCAGCCCAAAACAGAAGGAGCACACAAAACCTTGTCAACCTGGGCCTTCTTAGCGCAATTTGGATCACTACGACAAGAGTCTGGGCCTCGACCCACTGTAAGCCCATGAGGGGCCGGACCATTCAAACTAGGCACAATGGCCCCAACCTCCGGCCCAACCAAAAGCCCATCCGAACGTGAGGCCTGCAAAGACACGCGGTTCAATTTAAACTCATTTGACAATTTGGGTACAGCTGTATCCCACCCCCAACGTCCAACTCCAGAGCGCCAACCATGTGTCTGGTCCCCGACTCTTCCCCACCTACGCGCTGAAGGCACGTGAAAACGACCTCGGTTTCTTCTCCGATCACCAACATGTGAAACAGGCAGACTGTCATGACCTCTGAAACCTCCCCTCTGAGAATCCCGTCGAAAAACAAACCTGCCATGATTGAACGATGAAGAAACTTCATTCCTTTTCTGAATGAAGATTCTTTTGAAGCATTCCGTATTGCGAACCCAAACCTTATCCCTCCACGCCTTCCATTTCTGAAATTCAGCTTTCTCCTTCAGTCCCATGGACTCCCATCTCATCCAATCAACTTCCTTCAGCAGATGCGAGCCATCTCCACCTTCCACGCTGTCCGTCGTTGGAACAAGAACAGGGTTCTCCTCCTCCCAAACAGCCACCTTATAGCAGAATCGGTCATCATGAACGAAGACAAAAGGAGGGCAGGCACGTCCCACCGAGACCGTGATCTGGACTCTTTCAGCATCCTTGGACTCATCCTCATCAACCCAAATAAAGCCACCACAAAGGTCGCCGACCGTCACAAACAAAGCATGGCTCCAAAGGTGAAGAGGGAGACCATAAAGCGTGACCTTCTTCAACCCTTGCACCCTCAAAACCTCAGAGCAACCCACTCTGAAATTCCAAGCCTCCAGTCGGAGAGAAGCACTACCCCATTCCCGATGGCCCTCCTTGAGAACACGAGCTGCCTCCGCTGGAGAGGGGAGACGAAAAAGGATCAACGAGTCCAGCAAAGGCGAAACCACCACTTCAGCTGAAATCTTCCAAGCCCGCGTGGCCCAAGCGGCAATCTGAGCCAAATCACCCACTTCCTTATCAAACTGACCCACTAAACACGATCGCAGGTTCTCTTTCCTCCTACCAACCGAATCATCATCCAAGAAAATCGAAGGACCTCTATACGTGTTTGCAGACCTGGCAAACCCACCTTGAAAGAGACGAGGTAAACGAGCAACCTCCAAGAAAGTGCGCATAATAAACCAGAAACAGAAGAAAGAGATGAACACCAGCAAAACCCCCAACAGAAAACACAGATCACGAACCCAACAGAGAAAGAGAACAGCGAAAAGAAGAGTAGCAGAGGATTTCACCGGAGTTTATGACTCTGGTGACTAGTCGGAGTAGTAGACTCCGACCGCATCTCAACCACGATGAGCTTTCTCCGATGAGCTTTCAAACCAATCTATTTCCAGCCACACAATAAAATTGGGATTTGACTTTTTACGCATATGTCTAGGCATAGAATATGCAATGATTTTATTCAATTTCCTTCTTATGATATTAACATGTGTTCTTTTTAGTATATAAATAGTAGAGCTGTGAATGAGTGTTGCAGTCTCATTCAAACGTCTACATAGTATCAATCTCATTCAAGCCTTCACATATTTCTCTTGTATTCTTTCTATCTTGTATTACCAATGTCATTACATGTTCAAACATCATCATTAAATGTTCAACCACCATTATTAAATCCAGTGATTGAGAATTTGACAAGTCAATCACTATCATGACGGGTAAGGCAAGGAATGACTATTCAATCACTAAATATTCCTTGAGGTGTTGACCAATAGTCAATAACCAATTTTAGACATCATAAATAGGACTGTCCTAGAAGTATTGAAGACACCAACCTTGAAATTCCTTGAGTTTGTCTGGTTCTCAATCTTCCAGCTTACCTTTTGGGCCTTATTTTATTGTGTGTGATAGGCCTACTTATTATTATTATTATTATTTACTGTTCCCTTCAAAGAATCCAGAATATGTAATTGTTTCAGTCTATTATATTTCCATATTCTGATGGTAGTTATCTAGTTGACAAAGTTCAATTGTTGTGCCAAAACTAGTTATGATACCATTTGTGGCATTTTTTACAGGGGAGATGATGATGAGAAGGAGTATCTCGTGAAATGGAAAGAGCTTAACTATGATGAATGTTATTGGGAATTTGAATCTGATATTTCATCATTTCAACCTGAAATTGATAAATTTAACAGTATTCAGTCTAGAAATCGCAAAAAATCTACAAGTAAGCAGAAGAACAGTCCTCATGATGCCATAGAATCGAAAAAGAAGCAGAAAGAATTTCAACAGTATGAACACAGTCCTGATTTCCTTTCTGGAGGTAAATTGTTTGTATCTGATTGGTGCTCTGTAATTTAGGATGGTTGTGTATAATTTTGGTTTTTGACTTAATCTTCATGAAAACCTAAGTGCATTTTGGTTTAAATGAAGGCTCACTGCACCCGTATCAGCTAGAAGGATTGAACTTCCTACGCTTCTCATGGTCCAAACAAACGCACGTGATACTTGCAGATGAAATGGGCCTTGGTAGGGTTTAGTATGTGTTGTTTCAGTGCTGTTTCCTTTCTTTGTAGCGTTGCTCGTTGAAGATCAATTGTTAGATTTGATGTTGCTTTGATTCCTGTTTGAATGCAGGCAAAACAATACAGAGCATTGCTTTTTTAGCATCTCTTTTTGGAGAGAATATCACTCCACATTTGGTAGTAGCGCCCCTTTCAACATTGCGGAATTGGGAACGTGAATTTGCAACATGGGCACCACAATTGAACGTTGTATGTACATGGCATGTGTCTTTTCTTAACATGACTAATTTATATTCGTTATGCTGAATAAAAGTTCCTTAATATAGGTTATGTATGTTGGTTCTTCCCAAGCTCGTGTTGTTATTAAGGACTATGAATTTTACTTGCCTAAAAATTCTAAGAAGATCAAGAAAAAGAAATCTGGTCACATTGTTGGTGAGAGCAAGCAGGACAGGATAAAATTTGATGTCCTCCTAACATCGTATGAAATGATTAACATGGATAGTGCCTCATTGAAGCCAATAAAGTGGGAGTGTATGGTAAAGTAATTTGTTTTAGTTGAATGCTTTGCTACTTAAGCCTGTATATGTTCTTTAGATGAGTTCTCTGTGCAGATTGTTGATGAAGGTCATCGTCTCAAGAATAAGGATTCGAAATTGTTTCTTGCACTGAAGCAGTACTCTAGTAGACATCGTGTCCTTTTGACTGGAACTCCTCTTCAGGTTTGTCATCAGATTCCATTATCCTGCTTATGAATTGTAGAACGTTTGATTATTCCGATGAATTAACAGAAAATTATTTACACTAGTGATACTAACCAAAAGAAATTTTTTGGGCACAACAAGAAGTTGTATTTCTAAACAATATTGAAGGGATTTGCATTACCGTGACGACCATGATCACGGATCACGACCCTTGTTACCAGCCTGTACACATGCTTCAAGAACTACCGAATTAACTTAGGCACTTCGTGTATTACCCCAAGGGTGTCGTAAGGTTCTTCCACTGAGCTGTAGTATGGTCTCATCAGTAAAGATCTTGGTCAGAGTAGGTAAATGCCAAACGTTAATACACCCCGAAGCTATGAATGTAACACCTGGTGGAGAGCCCCATCTTGACATCGCGGACAGTTAGATGTCACTTCATCTTTGTTAGTTCCCGCTATTCGAAAAATTTGTTATATAATATATGATGATATATTGTTTCTTACATTCTCATCAACCTGATGTGTATTCTTTAATAAAAATGAAGTTTGATTATTTTTCATCAGATGAAAACTTTTGTTAATTGTTTTCAACTGACTTTATCCCATAGAGATATTTATTACAATGGTGTATTTGTTTTGCCATACGAAGTTTGAAAATAAAAGTTTAAATGACCTTAAAGTATGTAAATAGATCCAAAACATATTCTTTTTTCTTTCTTTCTTTTTATTTATTTATTTTGGATAAGTAGATCTGAAACATCTAAAATGCTATTAATCCTTCTGTGGAACAAACTATTGCTACAAAAATTAGTGAATAGGAAATAACTCTCCTGATCCTTTCCCCCCCGGCGCGGGGAATATACAAGAGCAAAACAGTCAACCCATATATTAGAAGACGTAAAGAATCCTTTCAATGTATCATTTGTAGTTCCAATGTGAGAAAATTGTTTACTATAAGCTTCAGCTCAAATATAGAGAAGTGTAAGGCTTGGTCTTGAACTAATTTGAATTTAAATCGAATTAATGATAACTCAAATATTAAACTAACTAGCAGACATGTATTCAATCCATCCATCATGTTCAATGAAGCCTACAAAAGTAAAAGTAAGCAATCACATAATGAACATGCAGACTTTTTTGTAAGTGGAAAAGGTCCAAGCAAATCCATAGAGAGAAAGAAATTGTACAATTAGGTTACCAGTTTTTCAAAACCTAGAAAACCCCTAATTACCTATTGACACGAACTGACGCTAAGCTCTTCACCCTAGTCATCAGAGATATTGCAACAGGATATTGTTTCCAGTTAGTTGGAGCTTATTTGTGTTCAATATATTATTTCCCCCGAAATTTTTATAATCCTAAAGTATAGACCCATGATTCATCATTTCCTTTTAAATGTCATGCCAATTCGTTTACCTTTGTGGTACTACCACCTTGGCTCCTGCATGCTAAATTTTGCAGGTTTATATTTCCTTGTATAGAATTAATATCAGTATATTTACAGAGTATTATTTTTTTCAACTCATTGCACTTATATTTTAGAGAAACTTATACAAATTGTACAGATATCATTTAATAAACATTCAAAGAAATAAATGCTCCTTTTATACGCGGTTTTATATCAATCTGTTACTGTACATTTAATATCTTTTGATTGTATACCAATGAACTTCTGGTGCATTTCAGAACAACCTTGACGAACTTTTCATGCTCATGCACTTCCTTGATGCTGGGAAGGTGAGTTCACTGCAACTTTGTAGAAGAATTACTAAGAAAATTCTGCCTAGTTACATGTAGTTAATAAAATAAAAAAGCATTCTCTCAGTATTTTCTGCAAAAATTGCAGTTTGGAAGTTTAGAGGAGTTCCAGGAGGAGTTCAAGGATATCAATCAAGAGGAGCAGGTGTCAAGGCTTCATAAAATGTTGGCCCCCCATCTCCTTAGAAGTATAATTCTTAATTCTTTTTTATCGTTTCCTTAGATAACTTTTAAACTTTCTTTATTGTCCTCTTCAATTTATAGTTCTTATTTTCGTTATTACTTGGGAAATATTTTGATCTTGGTCAATTCGTATTAAGCTTTTATTTTAGTTTAGATTTGTTTTGTTCTGATGAGTAGAGCAATGCAACAGATGGTGCCAAGAATGGAGATGCATCCCATTTACATTTGGACTCTAGAGAATTTTATCCACCTATATACTGACCACCAGAAAAAGGAAAAAAGAAAACAAAGAGAAAAGAAAAAAGGAAAAAAAGGGCCAAAATGATATTCACCTTTGTGTCTATCCGCATGAACAATGACACCTGGATAACTCAATGAAAGAATCAATGGAATAAGGAAAAGATTCCTCTAGCAGAAGTTTAATGATGTCAACTCCAATAGTTTCAATTTGTAAATTAAGGAGCTCGTCTCACTGAAAAAACATTCTAATTTCTCCAAGTACTTCACAGGATGCTCAATGGAGCTACTTCAGAAGCCTTCTCTTGCCCTTTTTTGAGAAAACTCAAAACTCAAATAATGTATCATGTCGCACACTAGACTATGCATGACAACAATCAATGTCAAAAAGAAAGAATAAGCTGCAACAAAGCTGCATTGCCACCTTGCAACAGATAGAACTTGTGACATGGATTTAATTGGAACTCCTTTAGTTATGTTAGCAAAAATGTAATATGCAATATTCTTTTCTTGGATAACGATACTCGTTTCAAGAAGCATAAAAATGGAGTTGAGAGTACTGTGACTGGTGCTCGTGTTCCCTTTCTCTATTCCCTTTTCTCCAAGTATTCTTTTTAGATTGTGTACAAGGGAATTTGATGAACAAAAACAAATGTTTATTCAGACATCAGATTGGGTCCAAAGGAATGTGATAAAAGGACGCATTTGTTTATTCAGATCTCTAAATTGGCCTCAGCCATATTGCAAGCCATGTGGTGAGCACTCCTGGAAACTATTTCTAGTTGTTTTACGCTTTAGCTTTTAGCAATGGGCTTGGATTTGTAGCAGGACAAGCTTCTGCACAACGTTTTATTTCATTGAAGATTTAATGGAGGAATCAGTTGAGGAGAATCCTCCTGTAATTGACGTTGTTTCCTATTATTGAAGATTTACTGTTACTAGAGGAATCAGTGGAGGAAAGTCCTCCTTGTTTCCTATTTTCTATCTCTTTCCGTTCTCATCGTTACTTCTCCTGTGTAGAGGAGCCTCCACCATTGTATTGGGTATGAAAAGAGAGATTATAATGAAAGATATGTAGCCCTTTCGGTTCATTGTGCCATGGATATAGGCCCTAGTGGCTGAACCACGTAATAGTTGTGTGTTGTACTAGTTTAATTTTTCTCTTCACATATATTTTATGCTTTATAACATGGTATCAGAGCCTAATTTCTCTTTCTAGGTTCGGACCCCTATTTTGGGGTATTCCCTTGGCATCTGAAATGTTGTTAAGGGTTTCTCGGTGTTATTTATGACTTGTTTTGGGCCGCCGGTGTGTTCGGTGGCATTGTTCTTCGCATTTTCCATGTCTCCGGCAGTTTTGTTGACTTGTTTGGGCTGCTAATGTGTTCGGTAGCATTGCTCTTCGCTTTCTCTCTTCTCTCGCTACTACTCGTCATCCCAATGGCAAGTTAGACATTCATGCTCCGACTTGAGGGGGAGTATTGAAGATTTAATCGAGGAATCAGTGGAGGAAAATCCTCTCGTAGTTGTTGTTGTTTCCAATTATTGAAGATTTACAGTTACTAGAGAAATCAGTGGAGAAAGATTCCCATTGTCTCTCTCTTTCTGTTCGTATCATTTCTTCTCCTATATAGAGGAGCCTCCACCATTGTATTGAGTATGAACAGAGGGATTATAATGAAATATATGTAGCCCTTTGGGCTCTTTGTGCCGTGGATGTAGGCCCTAGTGGCTGAACCACGTAATAGTTGTGTATCTACTCGTTTAATATGTATCTTCACATATATTTTATGCTTTACAACATATTTTGCTGTTTGGCTCTTTAATGGGTTTCGAAAAAGCATTCATGATAGCCTATCTTGTATTTCTTGGTAAAATCATCTGGAAACCATCCATCCCTTCTTGAATGGTTTTTTGTTGTGCTTTGGCTAGATAATGGAGAAAATATTTTGTGAGAAATGATCATTATTTCATGTCATTTCTCTTTTCTTGTTTCAACTCCCTATCATCTTTCTTTCTTTTTTATATTTCTTTTTTGTTTAGAAAAAGAAAAGAAAACTTCAAGTTCTGATTTATTCAAGGGTCATTGCTTGGTGCTGTTGTAGAATGAGAATGTTGGTTTGAATATTATGGCAAGTATCTTTGTGGAGTACTGAAAAAGTTTTGGTGTGCACTCCATCAGCCAATTCCATCACCCTGTATTGGTAGGAACTAGAATTGGCAATGGTCTTTTTATCTAAACAAGAGAGTATATGTGAAGAAAATTGAGGGATATCACTTACACTTTCTCTTTCCTTTTTGGTTCATGCACTAAACCCACAAATCAAATGTGGCCCTAAACAGAAGTTACTTCAAAGATTTACTTGATATTTTCGAATAACATTTGATTTGCTCATATAAAAAAAAAAAAATCACTTGTTTAACATGTTCTAGGCATAAAATCAGAACAATGCTTGGCTTGCTAGAGCTGTGGTTTTATTAGTGACTGAAGAAATTGGTTTTCTGTTCACATATTTTTTATTTTTATTTTTTAAATCATTAATATTTGCTGAAACATAGATGAAAAACATTTCTTTACGAATTTGTAGGAGTGAAGAAGGATGTAATGAAGGAGCTACCTCCTAAAAAGGAGCTGATTTTGCGTGTGGAATTGAGTAGTAAGCAGAAGGAATACTACAAGGCCATTCTGACTCGTAATTATCAGATCCTAACTCGTCGAAGTGGTCCCCAGGTGATATTAAAGTTCTAGTGAGTTAATTTTCCTTTTTTTGTTATTTTGGTCTAACATTCAATTCTTGTTCAATGGTCCTGATATCAGATTTCTCTTATCAACGTGGTTATGGAATTGCGGAAGCTTTGTTGTCACCCATATATGTTAGAAGGACTTGAACCTGATAATGCAAATGAGTTTTACAAGTAATCTTATGCATTCTGAATTTTATACTGTTACTTCTGTTATTTATAGTGCAGTAGGTTTATTGGCTTAAAACTGCTGTACAATTGTTTTTATTACTAATTATTAGAAGTACCTATAGCCTAGAAGCTTGTATGAATATTACAAGTTAGATTTTTTATTTTTATTTATTTATTTATTTATATTTTGTGTGTTAAGAAAAAGTAAATTTATGATGATTCTGTGTATATGTCAAGATTAGTCATTTTAATTGCCCGGTAATATGTTGTCAAATTTGTTATGCGATCAATGTTATGGTAATGATAAATAATATGTTGTCTGGTTCTGTTCATCAAATTTCTCTTGCTCTTCTTTTCTATTTAACAGACAGCTGCTGGAATATTCTGGCAAATTGCACCTTTTGGATAAAATGATGTTGAAGCTTAGGGAGGGTGGTCATAGAGTTCTGATATATACACAATTTCAGCATATGCTGGATCTACTAGAAGAATATTGTTCCTTTAGGGTATGGATGTTAAACTAGATTTCTTTTATTCTTTTACTTGATGGTGGATGGTCTATAGAGATTCTGCTACATATTTGGAAAAGAAAAAACTTATCATGATGGCGCACTCACATTGAGCTCGTGTTCAATTCCACGGTTTAGGGGGTGAGCTCATGGTTAGATTGCCCCCAGGTGAACATGCTGTTTTGAAAATTTGATTTGTCTTCTGTTTTACTTTTTGTTAGAAATGGCAATATGAGCGGATTGATGGAAGAGTTGCTGGTGCTGATAGACAAATTCGAATAGATCGGTTTAATGCCAAGAATTCTTCCAGATTTTGTTTTCTGCTATCTACCAGAGCTGGGGGTTTGGGAATAAACCTTGCAACTGCTGACACGGTTATTATATATGACAGGTAGATATTTATTTGGAGTCACACTCTTTTCTTCTTTTTACCTTTGTAATTTGCTTTTGAAATAATGTTGTGGTAGCGGTAGCATTAGTTGAGAATGGAGAGGAAATTGAGTACGCTACAGTTTAAGTGTGGTATAGACTTTTGAGATAAATAACATTACTGGGGTCATGATTATCTAGCCTGAAATATTAGGAAGCAATTTAAAAGTTGATGCAATGGATCAATTATTGAGAAAGTGTTTATTGTAAAACTTAAATGATCATTTATTTTGATAATAATGTCATTGTAGAATAATTTCAAAAAATTAAATATAGTATGGTAAAACGTAGAATATTTGGTTTCTCTCCCCTTCTATGCCCCCTCCATATAGCGTCATTGTTACACTTATTAAAAATTAAGAAATGATTTAAAAAAATTAAATTTTGTAGGACAAATGGCTTTATGAATCCATGTGGCCCATCCCATTTGTACGAAATATAAGGCAAGGATGATGATACTCTTTTTGGCTTATTGCCCTATGCTCTTTTCACATTGTGGCCCAATGCTCAATCCGAGATTGCCCCTAGGAAAAGTGAGTGGCTATGGGCCACTTCTCCTTGATTGCATTTGTACCTAGAATTGGTTCATATTGAGGATGTTCATAGTTTGTGACTGTTTTTTGCACCTAAAACCCTTGTGTATTCTACACCTTGGGAGGTGGGCTATGATGCATAGACACACAAAAACACATACACAGAGATAGGTAAACACAAAAAATATTCAAAAAGTAGAGCATGGGTGCGGAGAGTGCACAACTCGACTAACTACATGGAGGAACTTCTTCCCTAACCATTAAGGTGGGGTTTCATGAATCATGTTTTACCATTGCATTTATCACTCATTATTTGAAGCCATCGTTGACGCGTGTGGTGGATTGAAGTGGATGTCTATGTGAAAAAATTCTCTCTCACGGTCTAGGAAGGACGGATACATATACGGGATATGGACACGACATGGCATGGATACAGCGATACGACAAATCTCAAAAAAACAAAATATACAAAAAATTAATTTTTGGTCTTATTTTTAATAATATTATGAATCTAAATGCAACCACTAATAGGTTTTAAATAAAGCAGCTACGAAATATAATATAGGAGTTCGTTTCACAACACATAAAACAAGCATCCCTATTAGGGCTGCAAACTAGTCGAGTCAAGCAAAGTAGTGGCCTGTTTGAGCTCTACTCGAGCTCAAATCGATTCCAGTGTTTGAACTTGGCTCGGCTATGTTCACCAAAAACTTGTGCTCAGCTCAAAACTTGTTTACATATATTTCACGCGCGTGCGTACACACATATCAACAAAAGCCTACAGAAAACCTATACACATGTATACATGTATAACATATACACAGTTGCAGTGGATCTTCGCATTGATCTTGTATCTCCATCAAAAGGCACCTGTAGTGCTACCATTGACGCCGTATGAGGGAAATGAGAGAGAGAGAGAGAGAGAGAGAGAGAGAGAGAGAGAGTTGTTAATCACAGTTGCTTTGTGCTTCTGCTTTGACTTGAAGTAGAAGCAATGTTTCTGCTTTGAAGTGTGTTCAATACTATTTGGAAGTCAGTTTGGTAATGTATATTTGTTGCAAGATTTTTTTTTTGATAAGTAAAAATATATTAGAAAAACGTTCAAAAGGGGAACGCATCCCTAATACAAGAGAAAAGATCTAAGGACCAATAGAATCCAAGAGATCAAAGAAATCATCAATCGAGGAGCATGTACTTCCTCTAACATAAAAGAATAAAGAACGAAGAATATGAATTTTTAAATTAGCTAAGGACGATTCTTTTCCTTCAAAGGATCTGTTATTTCTCTCACGCCACAAACACCACCAGACACAATGAGGAACAATCTTCCAATAAGCACGAGCTTGTTTCTTAACAGGACAGCTTTTCCAAGCGTGCTTAGGCATTACCCAAAAAATGCCGAAAATGCTGAAAATAAAACTCCAACAACCAAACGCCACAGGACAATGCAAAAGAATGTGATCCATGGATTCACTATCATCTTTGCATAAACAACACCAATTAACAATGATGTTGCCTCTCTTTCTCAAATTGTCCAAAGTCAAAATCTTCCCCAATGTAGCTGTCCAAGCGAAGAACGCGATTCGAAGAGGGGCTTTAGAGCACCACACGGACTTCCAAGGAAACTTGGAACCAACGAAATTGGATAAATGAATAAACATAGAGTGGACATCATACCGACCATGAGCCAAAGGAACCCACAAAATATCATCACACCCTCTGCTAATATCCTTCTGCCTATACAAAATATCCAAAAAAGCAGAAACTTCCTCCATTTCCCAATCCTGAAAAGACCGCCTAAACCGCACATCCCACGTAACTCCATTGTTATCAAGATGATAACAATCAATCACGAAAACATGCTTATTAGTTGCAATGCTATAAAGCCTAGGAAATGAGTGTGAAAGCAACTGGTCGCCACACCAAAGATCCTCCCAAAAACGAACATGCCTGCCATTACGAACTTTGAATCTAATAAGAGTAGAGAAAACATCCCATCCCTTCCGAATAAATTTCCACAAACCAACGCCTCCTGTAATAGTGACTGGAAGAGATGACCAACCCCCACTCCCCTCACCAAAACGACACGAGACAACTCTTCTTCACTGACGATGTCGTTCCCTTCCAAATCGCCATAACCACTTTCCTAAGAGAGCACGATTAAAAGGAACAATTTTTTGAATGCCTAACCCTCCGAATCTCAATGGTTGGCAAACTTGATCCCAATTAACAAGATGATACTTAAACTCCTCTCCCCTTCCACCCCATAGAAAATTCCTCTGAATTTTTTCAATTCTATCAGCAACAGAACATGGAATTTGAAACAAAGATAAAAAATAGGTAGGAAGCAACAGAACATGGAATTTGAAACAAAGATAAAAAATAGGTAGGAAGGGATGAAAGAGTACTCTTTATAAGTGTGACTTTCCCACCCTTAGATAGATACTGCTTTTTCCATCCTGCTAATCTTTTCTCATATCTATTAATCACTGAGTCCCAATTCCCAACCAGAGTAGAAGAAACTCCCAAAGGCAATTCTAAATAAGGAAGAGGAAAAGAACCAACTCCGCACCCTGAAACAGCAGCTAAGGAGGAAATATCTGGAACATCCCCCACTGGAACAAGCACACTCTTTCCGACATTAATCTTAAGCCCAGAAACTGCTTGGAAGCAAGCAAGAGTGCACCTCAGATATTTGTTGCAAGATTTTTGGAAGCGAAAAAATGAAATTTTTTTTGGTAAAAAAATGTTGCACATGCTTCATGCTTTTGCTTCGCTACAGTGGCAGAAGCAAAAAACACGAAGCAGAAGCTATTGCCAAATGGGCCCTTATTTATTAACCGGGGCGGGTTCCGGGCTTTGTAGGTTTTAAACTCTCTTCCTAAAACTGCCCCTAACCCTATTAGAATGATCCCAACCCCGTCCCAATAGGGGTAGGATAGGGCAGATTAAATTGACATCTTGAGGTCTCTTCAATATCTTACAAATGCCTTTATTTGCAGCTTAAACTGTGTATAACATGGATCTCTTCAATAACTTAGAAATGCATTTATTTGCAACTTAAACTGTCGATCACCTAATAGTATGCTACTATGCATTTATCATGAGAAGGAGGGAGTGTTCAGTTCTAGTTACGCGTTGCCACTGTAATGAGGAATTAATATTTGAAGATTCATTTTGTTTTATACTACATGAAAATTTAGAGATCTATAATTTTTTTTTGTCACATCTCTTATATGTCAATTTACTCACATTCTTCCTCATCTGTTGGTCCCCCTTTACTAGTTTCTTTTATGTGCAGTGATTGGAATCCCCATGCTGATTTACAAGCAATGGCAAGAGCTCATCGACTTGGGCAAACAAATAAGGTTAAGGATCATTGGTCAATGTTGTTCGTGCAGATCATTGTTGTGTGTTACCTTGGTATGATCGTTTTAGATAATCTCTTCTAATTTTGCAGGTAATGATTTATCGGCTTGTAACACGAGGGACCATTGAAGAAAGGATGATGCAGATGACCAAGAAGAAAATGGTTTTGGAACATCTAGTTGTCGGGAGGCTCAAAGCACAAAACATTAACCAGGTAGGAATTTTTTTTTTAGGTTAAAAATAATGAACTTTTCCTTTTCAACGGCAAATGGAGGATAATTGACTAAGACTACTATAAATCTAGTTTAGGTTATGTATTGCTGGAAATCAACAAGATCATAGAAAATATTCCAGTTCAAAATGAGAATATTGAGTTGGATGAGTAGCAAGAGAAGGAAGGATGAATTAAGAAATAATGTGTCTTCCGTGATCGGAGGTAGTACCTAGTTTGGATTAGGTGATAGAAATATTTAGGATTGTTGTTCATGGTGGAAAATCATAGTGGCAGCACAATAATGATCATTGTTGGTTACATTGAGGAAGAAGAATACAATTAGCACTGTATTTTTTATTTTTTTAATTGGGAATACCTACATAGTGGAATTCTTTATGCATTTTCACCTTGATTGGATTAGGTGACAATATTTAGGATTGTGGTTCATGGTGGAAAATCATTGTGGCAGCACAATAATGATCATTGTTGTTGACATTGAGGAAGAAGAATACACTTAGAACTGTAATTATTTATTTATTTTTTAAATTGGGACAATCTACATAGTGGAATTCTATATGCACTTTCATCTCCCTCTTATCTTTTGTTTCCTGGTGGCTTTGTCTCTGTTTTCATTCTTTATTTCATTATCATTATCATCATCCTTGCCCATATGAATGGGTTCTGCCACATGGATTCCTTTTCCCCATTCTTGTCTATCATAATCCATTTCACATAGTTTATGCATTTTCTAAAATCATTATTATCGGTCATCCTTGTTGTCTCTTACCTTCTACACAAATCAATGTTCTATTTCTCATCAGTGCATGGAATATGTCCATACCACCTAAGCTACTTTCTCTTGTTTCTCACTAATAAGTGCCACACCTAATTTCTCCCTTACATGTTGATTATTAACGTCATCTATTCCAGTTGTTACTAACATCCATATCAACATTTGCATTTCAAGGACATTAATTCATTGTTGTTTCTTTTTAACGGCCAACACTTTGCTCCATCTAAGATAGCTAGTCTAATTATTAGCTTATGTAATTTCCCTTTTAGCTTATTTGATATTCGTTTATTGCATAAAACACCACTAGCTTGCCTCCATTTTTGTCCATCTTATTTCAATTTTACTACATATACCATCATCAATCTCTCCATCCTATTGTATAATTGATCCTAAATATTGAAAATGATTATTTCGAGTAATGCTTTAGTGTAGAATTGTTCTCTCTATATTATCATTTCAATAGCATTACTAAATTTACATTCTATATATCTTATTGGATCTGTGGTGGAGGATTGTGGTGGAGGATTCGGATTGTTGGTATTGGATCGCAAACTCCAAGGGGCGTTTTGAGGTGAGGTCTTTCTTCAAGTGCCTCTCTTTTGATCCTGGAGTTCGTTTTCCTTGGAAGTCTGTTTGGCATTCTAAGGCTCCTCTCAAAGTGGCTTTCTTTGTGTGGACTTCGGTTCTGGGTAGGATCTTAACCCAGGATAATTTGAGAAGGAGAAGCCAGGTGGTGGTCAATCGTTGTTATATGTGTCTTCGTGATGAGGAATCTGTGGATCACCTTCTTATTCATTGCTCTTTGGCTAGAGAGTGTTGGGATTTGATGCTTGGCTTATTTGGGTTTTATTGGGTTATGCCAGGATCTACTAGAGAGTTGATTGAGATGTGGAGAGGTTGCCATGTGGGGGCTCTCAGTCAGGATGCGTAGAGAGCTATGCCGCTTTGTGTGTAGTGGTGTATTTGGCTTGAAAGGAATAGGAGATACTTCGAAGGAAAGGCGATGTCGATTTTGGTGCTTAAATTCTCGATTATTTCAACTCTTTTTTGTTGGGTTTCAGGGAGAGATCATAGATCGTTGGGGGAAATTGTTGATTTTTTGGCCTCTATGAAGGCTTGAGTCCTTTGTGCTCTTTTGTATTTCCTTGGGTTTCGCTCCCCTCTTGAGCGTCTTTTTATAATATTCTTTTATTTATCAAAAAATATATATATCTTATTTTAGTTTTACTAATTTTGTAACCTTTTGAGTCTAATGCATTTCTCCAAATTTTTTATTTTTCTGCTAAAGTTTTCCTAGAATTACCCAATAGTGCTACGTCATTAGCAAATACCAAGGATCATGGAATGTATCCTTGTAAGTCTTTCGTTATTTTATCATTGTGAATATATATCGACTTAGCGCTAACCCTTTATGCAATTGTACTTCTATAGGAAAATTGTACTTCTCCCCACATATAGTACAACTCTTGTTTTTATATGGTTGTACATATCCCTAATAAGTTTAATGAATCATAGAGAAATATGTTCTCTTGGTAGAGCCCACCAAATTATATCTCTTGGTACATTGTCATATGCTTTTTCCAAGTCTATGAAAACCATCTGTAGATCCTTTGGCCTGCTCCTACAATCAACCACTAACTCGCTTAATAATTAAATGGCTTCTATAATTGATATTCTTGGCATAAAGCCAAATTGATTATCAGACACTGGACATTCTTTTCTTAACCTCTGTTCTATTACCGTTTCCCAAAGTTTTATAGTAATACTTTTTAATTACAAAATCCAGCAGATCTTCATCATCTTGTGCTTCATCAAATTGACCCTCTGTATTTGATTCATCTTTGTTGATGAGCAAGTTACTAGTTGCCTTTCGACAGTCAGAGGATTTGTGACCTTCTTTATCACATTTGTAACATAATCTTATTTCCCATGGACTGAAATGGTGTGCTACTATTCCCAATTGCACTGAAATGGTGTGCAACTACTCCCAGTTGCAGTATTTGTTGCTCCACGTCCCCGGCCTCGACCATGTCCATAGGCAGCACATGCTGTATTATTTTTCTGCGTAACATTGGTTGCTGCTCCAGCCTTTTATGTTTTTTTTTACCAAGTCCAGCTTCCAATTGTACTTGTCCCCTTCTGAACTGATTTGAACAACTGCTGGACTAATTTTGCTGTGTTTCAACCTTCGTTGCCGATTGGGCAGCAGTTGCTAAGGTCCAACAAGGCTGTAACTCCATGTGGCTTCTTATACCTGGCCTTAATCCCATTAAATAACTATGAATCACCTGTGTTTCTGTTTCAGCCAACTGTACCTGATATCTCATCTTATAGAACTCGTTTGTGTATTCCCAAACTGAGTGAACTACTTGGTAATGCTGAAATAGCATTCCTTCATAGTTTAATTGAAGGAATTGGCTCCGGATCATCCTTTGCATTTTTGTCCAGGATTGAACACACTCCTTTCCAGATTGAACTCTGGTTGATTGAGCTTGCTGTCACCAAGAAGATGCATATCCCTTCATCTTAATAGTTACCAATTTCACCTTCTTATTGTCAAGAAGGTCAAGGTACTCAAAAATCTTTTCGTCTTCATTTAACCAGTCAAAAACCTCCTGCTGCCCTTCCCCAGTGAAAGTTGGAATTTCCACCTTAATATGTGGATCTTCAATGTTACGATTGAATGCCGGCTGCCTTGCATATGGTAAAACTCCATCTTCTTCTTCTAGAAAATTCATCTGCAACTTGCTGAAATCTTTCTACAGCAGGCTGGTTCCTCCAATTTCCATGTTGATATACATTCATTTAAAGTCCCCTTTATCTTCCAATGGTCAGATTAGGTGGGCAAAGGACTCCTGATTGCTCCAACCTGGTGAACAATTGATTAATTTGTAGTTGCATTTACTGCTGCAGGTTCTCCAAATCTTCTTTTGTAGCAACATTTCCAGCATTTAGTGCTTAAGATGTTTCTGTATTACCCACTTGGTTGTTTCCTTTCCCAGCCATGGATCTGCATTTTGCAGTACTCACAGATCTTAGAGGAAAGGCTCTGATACCACTTGAAGCAAACAGAAAAAAAAAACTTAGTCTTCTTACAACAGTAAGGAAGACTAAAAATACTCCAATCACTTTTGGAGCCTAGATTTCTAAAGGGAAATCTGGGAAAAGCCTTAAGAGAAGTTTATACTCTGAAAATAGCTCAAAATTATATTGATAAGACTTGAATACGACAGATAAGAGACTGTTTCTTTTAGAAGACAACAATTAATGATACTACTTTTTCCCAAGACTGGCTTTTAGACTACCCAAGAGTATTAATTACGTCTATGTTTTCCAAGACATACTAAGATTTCCCATACCATGATACTAGAGACTATTGACACAACAGACTGCATTAATGAGAGACAACTGACTGCATCAAATTCACTTCAAATCAGTTTATAAAAATGAAATTTATTATTTTTCACCTCCCTGGATATAAAAGCCTCATGATCCACTACATTTTCCAAGCCACGTAAACTTGTTTTGGTGCTTGAATCTTCAAACACCAACCAATAGTCAAGACTTGTAGTCTTGCAAAACTCCCGTTGGTAAAAGGTTAAGAACTTCATGTTTCCCCATTGCTATCATTAACATTACATTCTTATAGCTTCTTTTATTTTGAGATTCTTCTTTTGTAAGATCCCAATCCACAGACATTTTTGATTCATATGATTCAATACGTGGTTCTTCATAAAAAATTGGAGGCTTACTCTACTCAATGAATGGTTCTATAGTAGTCATTGTTATTAATAACCATGATTCATCATTTTTTGAATCATTTCTGAATCATGATAAAACCTTTCCAACCATGACTCCTCACAATTGACGAAAATGTTCTCATCGGACTTGTCATCATTATCATTTCTCTTCTTGTGGTTGTTCTGATTCTCCACCAAGATATCCTGCAAATTCAGAAATTTCCACCTTAAAGCGACCATCCCAATGCCTTTCTTCAAATGGAATAGATGCTGCTCTGGGTGCTGGGAATCTGCAAAAAGGATTAACAATCTACTCTTCCAGATTGTCCTCAGATTTGATGCCATCTTGAGAAGGGGCTATGGTTTGCGCAACGCGTTGGGTTAAAGCTTCAATCTACCTTCTTAGATATTCTATCACAACAAGCACTTGTTATTGATCAACTGTTGTGTCCTGACAGGGCTGAACAGCTGGTCTGTGAGGTGGGTTCCTTCTCCTTGGTGGCATGTTGCAAAACCTAAAAAAGAGAATAATCCAACACAAATCCATTGGACCAGAACTTGCTCTAATACCAACTATTGCAAGAAAGAAAAAAGAAAATCTGTAAGAAGGGAGAACAGAGCTTAAGGCAAACATTAAACAGGAAATTAAGACAGATTTACCACTTAACTAAACGACTTAAAACCAATAAACAATGCTTCCCCTATTAATGCAATCTCAGTCTAGTCTTCTTAGGATGTTCAATTGTTTGAAGAAAGTCCTCTTCCTTTTGCACTGCATCAGCATCATATGAGTTATGTAGATGCATTTCTCTTTCTTATTTAGGTTGATTTTTTCTTTATTATTATTTTGGGGGATTTTGTGGGGGTGTGTGGGGGGTGAGGGGAAGAGGGAGGGGGGAGGAGGAGTGGTGCCTGTCTTTTGCTTATTGGTTTGGAAACTTGCTCCGGGCATTGCCTTTCCTGTCCTTGACTCCTTGTAATGCATAAAAGATTAATTCCGTCCTGTGCACTTGTAAACTGTGTTGCAAGAAAGAAACTAATTCCCCAACTCTTGAGAGTTCCCTTCATAGGTTGATGAAGCTTCTAAGATAATTTTTGTTTGTTTAGGAAGAATTGGATGATATCATAAGGTATGGCTCAAAGGAGCTGTTTGCTGATGAGAATGATGAAGCAGGAAAATCCCGGCAAATTCATTATGATGATGCTGCGATTGATAGGTAACTTGGACTCTGCTCTAACATCCATTGTTTTTGGTATTTAAGTACTTTTTTTTACTTTTAAAGATTTAATGGGTTTTCTTTTGTTAGGTTACTTAACCGTGACCAAGTTGGAGATGAAGAGACTACTTTAGATGATGAAGAGGAAGATGGATTTTTGAAGGCCTTTAAGGTTTTGTTTTTTCCTCTTTTATATTTGTTTATATAATGGTACAGATGTGAATTGCTGTTTTCATCACGCCTGTGAGCTGATACTTGATGTCATTTTATGGTTGTAAGATATTTATTTCTTTACGTCACTTGTATCATCATAAACCACCTCATATATTGTATCCTTGATGTAGAGTTACAGTAGATTGGAATTCACTTGCAACTTCTATTTGTAACTTCTTTGATCCACCATATTAGATCTGTAAGAACACTGCCATAAGCGTTCTCCAAATCAATGAAACCAAATTGGAGTCTAATTTTATTTTATTTTATTTTTCCCTCGGGCATAAACCGATTGTCCGAAATTATATTTGCACACCTTAGGCATTGTTCAATAACTCTCTCGCAAAATTTATTGACAGGACTCATTAATTTTATACTTTGATAATATTGCACAACTTTGAATTTCCCTTTGTACATGTATATGTATATTGAAATACTTATATGGCATTCATCAATCATTTTCTTAATTATTATTATGTTATTGAATAATTTTGTTAGCCAATAAATGTCGATAACCGGGGTGTCTGGGGCTTTGCCCCGACTAATCCACGGGACCTGTGCAAAACGACCCCTCCACACGAATCGGGTAAAGCTCGGACTATGTCCGCGGTTGTGACCCCTAAAGAATTGATTGTACTCGAGAGGATTCGAACCAGAGACTTAATGCTTCCTGAGGCACTTAGTCCCAAGGCTTCAGCACTGGAGCCAACCCCTCGGGGTTAAAAGTGTAATACACTTTTAAGCCTCTACAAGAATGCCATCTAGTCCTAAAACATGTCCAGATTTCGTGACACTTCATTCTCATTTTTATGATGTCTGGTCATCCTCATTTCTCTAAGTCATGTCCACCATGCACCATCTCTTACTCTCCATGATCTTGTCCTATATAACCCATTAAATCTCCACAAATAATTTTTTTTCTCCTTTTAGTATTCTTTTAAGTAATTCATCCTCATTCTCTTCAGATTGTCATTTGATATGTTGTTTTAGTCCTACGTGGGGAGCATAAGGATAAATTATATTAATTGTTTTTATTCACAGGTTACTGATATTGTTCTATCTCTTTTTCAAATACGAACGATAATATTTGTAATTTGAATTCTTATTAACATTTATCTCTATTCCATTTTAATGTCTATGTTTGCTTGTGTAATGGAATTTATATTTTTATTTTCAATTTCCCTTGCTTTCTCTCCTCTCCACTTAGTCTCTTGTGAGCCCCAAGTATTAACTCGTTTTCTAATCATAATGTCTTCCAACTCCATTTTACCTGTAACTGGTTGTATATTCCAAGTTCTAATGTAAGCTTGATATCTTGGACTAACTCTTTGGTCCATGGGAACATGGAACCGTTCCCTGTTCTCTTTGCTTCCAGTTGCTGATTTGATTCCCCTTATCTATTTTATGAAACATCTGAAAACAAAATTAATGCATGGTTTAAGGGAATACCTTAGTATTTATGTATTACTCCCTCAAGTGCACATCTATTTTGGGACGGAGGGAGTATATTCACATTCATATTGTCCTGCCAAAAGTTTTATCACAGTCAGGCTTGAGAATTCTTTATAAAGACAAGGCACTAAAAATGACACGGTTGGAATTGTATCAATGTAAATGCTGTGTACGAAGATAATAAAGTGTATCAATCTTGACTATATGATAAACTAAACAAAATTGCCCTTTAAGTTATGAATTGGCTTCACCACTGCCCCGAAAGGGTGCCAATTTATCTACCTCAAGATGGACCAGATAAATTAAAGTAGGACCTTGCTTGGGTTAGCCACTAATCCAGGAAACACCCAGCTATCCTGAACAACTACAGCGTCACAGATGATACCTCTTTTGCAATGAATGAGAATTTGTCAACAGTATCTTTACCTCTTAGCACTAGGAATGCACACAGCTAGAATTGGACTGGTTTAGGAGTATTTTGAAGCCTAACTGGTCCTAACGGTTCTAGTAAAAATTGGAACCGAATCAGACAGTGAAACCAATGGAACCACAACCAACCGAACCGTAAGGGAACATTTTGGTTCGACGTTTCTGGCCTTTTTATGGTTCAGTCCAATTACAAACGCAAGCCCCATAATTCAGACCAATCAATCCTATAGATTTTATCTGAACTAGTGAATTCGAAGGGTTTGAATTGCTGTCTAAGTGTCTCACTTACCCGGGGCAATTAAACAGATACTACTTCCTTATGGCATTCCAATCACCAACAGTTGACCAAGCACCATGAATCTTCAAGGGATGCATATGGATGGTTCCTTCTCCTATTTATGTTCGTGCTTTTTCTTGCCTTCTTTCTCTTGCTTTTCTTCTTCTGTCTTTATTCTGCCCTTTACAGTACGAAATTTGAAATATCCACAAACTAAATTTTGAAAGATGTTATGAAATATATTGCATATGTTATCGATGATACTCTATTATATATATTGTAATATATAATTAAATGTCTGAAAGGCTAGTCTCATTATTCTGTTATATATATATATATATATATATATATATATATTATATAATATAAAGGTTCGGTTCGGTTTGGTCGTGTAGGACCCCAAACCAGAATCAAACCATTTATAAATGGTTTCATGTTTTTGGAACCAGGACCGGACCAAACCATGAAAAAAAGGATCGAACAGACTGGTCCGGTTTGTTCTTAGCCAACTGGTTTTATGTGCACGTATGCTTAGCATATACACCAATTGATTGCTCTACACTATTCTTTTTATGTTGTCAATTGCTTGATCTTACTTTGCGCCACTGGACACTTGGCAAATGTAATCCTGGAAAAGGTGAATTAGTGCTCCAAATATCCTTCAAAGGAAAGGAAACCTTGTGGTAACAATAAGAATTGTAAACGATTTAACCTCAAACTTCTCTTTGGAATACCCAACATCAGCAAATACATTACCATTCAAAAGTTATCCTTTTTCCGAAGTTACTTTTTTGCATTAAATGTTGAACCTGCTAAACTCCCACACTTAAAAAACCTATTATCTCACACATCTTGGGAAGTTGGACAAGCACGAAGTGGAGTGTTTTAATGCTAGATAAGCAGATATACCTATGGCTGGAAACATTGTGAGCTCTATTGTCAACTTAGTCTCCCATAGGCCAGCTCATCGTAAGTTTGTAACCCTACAACACAACTTTAGCGGGTTTGGTCTCCCTTTCATTCGCTTTCAAACATGGAAGACATCCATCGTTTGTTAGCCCTATTAGCTTTTCTAGTAAGCCCTTTTGATTATTAGTTGGTTGTGCTTGCTGCTTGTCAAAGCCATAGCTTCTTGTTCTCTCCCCTTTCATGTCTGCCTGATTCCAAATTCTGCTCCCCTTTCTTCATGGGGTGAGGTTCGGGTCAAAGGGACCGGGTGGATCGTTCTGTTGTTTACCTTCCTAATTTATTAATGTGACGTAACTTCTCTGAACCTACATTTGATAGTTGTCTTCTTGGTTTGCATTTGTAGTGGTTTTCACTGTTTATTGTTGGTGCTTTGAACCTCATTCAGAATGTTATCTAAAAGATTTAAAAAATTAATCTTTGCATTTACTGTTGCATTTTGTTATTTGGGTTGGTATATTCTGCTCTCTTTCTTAATTGTTTGGCTTTTTAGTTTTAAAGAATCTAAGTTCTGCATGTGCATAGGTAGCAAATTTTGAATACATTGAGGAAGTAGAAGCAGGAGCCCGAGCAGCAGAGGAATTACAAAATGCACCCACAGAGAATAAAACTACGACAAACAATACAGAAAGAGGTAGTTATTGGGAAGATTTGTTAGGAGACAGATACGAAGTGCATAAAATTGAAGAGTTTAATGCCATGGGCAAGGGAAAGAGAAGTCGTAAACAGGTATGTTAGCATTATTGTACAAAGTCACTGTGGTCAATTTAATTTGCTTTGATTGCTATTTTTGCTTGATAGGGTTATATGTTTTGTGATGTTGTGGCCTAAATATGGTGTCGGGTCGTGTTGTGATCCGTTTATGACCCGATGACCTGTTGATTGAGCTTTCTATTGCGGGTCATCTTGTAGCCCAATATATAAGGGCGCTTAGAATTTGGAGTGAGATCATTGAGAGACTGAAAATCGCAGAAAAGAGAGCGAGAGCTAGGGTTTGGGGCTGAAACTTGTAATCTCCAGATTTTCGCATGGGGAATTCTTTCGTCGGATATCATCCGTGGATGTAGGCTTTGTCGAACTGTGTTCTTTGTGTGGTGTGCTTATTTTGCTATCATATTTCTTGGGTTCGGCGCGTTGTTGTAACATGTTCTATGAAAATATTGAATTTGAATAATGTTATTGCTTCGTTCGAAGGTTTTATTAGTCCTTGTTGTGTCTCTTTCAGTTTTTTCATTCTTATGCTGTTCCTCAAGTTTCATCATTTGGATTGCTAACTTAAATCATGCTCCTTTGGAAATAAAGTTTCTAAGCTTCGTTCACTTCAGAATTGGGATTTACTTGCTTGAAATACTAATGGCAATCTATGACATATGTATTTCCGTGTGGATTGCTTTTCTAATTCCTTTTAATGCAAGGTGTGTGTCAAACTTCACTCACTTTGCAAGTGGGAAGAGGGAAAACCTGAATCACAGTCTATCTTATTGTTAGTACCCTCCAGATTGCAGTCCATCTTATAACCTGTCATGTTCTCTTGGAACTATTCAGATGGTCTCCGTTGAAGAAGATGACCTTGCGGGTTTGGAGGATGTAAGCTCCGATGGTGAAGATGATAACTATGAAGCTGAATTGACTGATGGCGAGACAGCTCCAGCTGGAACTCCAATTTCAAGAAAACCTTACAAAAAGAAAGCCCGTGGTATAGTTTTGCTGATATTATCATCTTATAAAGTTATGTAGAATACTTTGTTGCCCATTTGATCATGACACCATGTTCCAATCTTCTACAGTGGATGGTACAGAACCACTTCCTTTGATGGAAGGTGAAGGGAGATCATTCAGAGTATTGGGGTTCAATCAAAATCAAAGGGCTGCATTTGTCCAAATTTTGATGAGGTTTAGTTTTGCAAGTTTACTCGTTTATCCTCTAGCTGTATTTTGGTCGAATTCCACTCTCTTATATACATGTTTGTGTGCACATATCTGCTTGTAGAATTGTCTTATATATATTGCAAGTATAAGGACCATTTGACATGATATTTTGGTGCTTTTATACGATTAGACTATGTCTATAAGTTTGTAATAGTCAATGTTGTGTTACAGATTTGGAGTTGGGGACTTTGACTGGTCAGAGTTTACGCCACGCTTGAAGCAGAAGACGTTTGAAGAAATTAAAGAGTATGCAATATATTCTTTACTACATATCTGAAATTTACTGAACTAGAAAATCGTGGAAATGACAATGTTTCTAAAAATAATGGTGGGATGTGGATTGACTGGGGCTATGTCCTTAAATAGAACGAAATGGAAACATAGGATTCATGTAGCCGAGCCCAAGTGATTGGGAAAAGGGTTGGTTGTTGTAGTAGTAGTAGCTGTACAAGTAGCTGCCTATATATTTGAGTTTAGATTTTTACGCTTGTCTGAACTTGTATCATTGCTTAAATTGGTGATCCTTAACATTAAAAGATCTTCATGCCAAATGACTTGAGAGAGAAAATATATATTTGGATTGTTAGTCCTGAACGTGACAAGAATTTTGTTCTTCCTGTGCTTACTGGCTGAAATTAGTTTTTGAAGAAAGATTTTTGGTTTGTTTTTGTTTGCGACTGTATAGCCATATGCTACACTGATACATGATGATTCTTTGTTTCCAGTTATGGAACTCTTTTTTTAACTCACATTGCTGAAGATATCACTGACTCACCAACCTTTTCAGGTGATCATTAATAGTCATTAGTTTTCTTACTTCTAGTTTCTTATCTCTCTCTTTTCTTTAATTTTTTCTCTTTTTTTTTGGGTCTGCCTGCAGACGGTGTTCCGAAGGAAGGACTAAGAATACATGATGTACTTGTTAGGATTGCAGTCTTACTTTTGATAAGGGACAAGGTAAGTTTTATTTGCTATTAAAAAGATCTATATGCTTAATTATTTTTTAGATTATTTTAATATAAAAACTTATTTCTTATGTCCCTTTGAGTTTTTTAATGTTCATTAACTTGAAAGTAATCTCAAGGAATAATATTGTCGCATGGCACAAGGCTTAGGCATAGTGGTTTACAAATAAAGTACAAACTATGTCAAAAGACTGAGGTGGCATTTTTGAATTTATGAGACTTGTCGGCTTTTTTTTATTATTGCATGAAAAATGCAAGACTTTACATTCAACACGGTTGCCAACAATTTTTTTTTTTTTTTTTCCGAAGTCAACAATCAATTTGAAATGACTCCCAAAGAATTATATTACCTGTTGCTGGTTGTAACTTGTATGCCCTTTCGATGTCTATTAAGGGACTTTTTTTTTTAAAAATGTTTCTCAAATACAGATTTCAGAATATCTGAAATAGATGAACCTTTGAGAATGAATTGTTTGTCCATACTCTCTCTCTCTCTCTCTCTCATGTTCTTGGATGTGGGGATTCCAGGAATTTGCCTTGAATCGAGGTGTTCCTTCGTATGATTGCCACAAAGTGGTATTTCAAGATTAGGCTTCATGTTGTGTATTTTTGTCTTGTATTTATGATCTATAGTCCAAATAAAGTAATCATCTATAAACTGTGATTGATGTTACGTGATCTAAGTCATGTCCATCTGGCAAGCACGGATGAACAAAGAAAATAATAATAAGATTCTGTTAGTCCCAAGTACAAAAAATTAGAATTTATATATTGTCCTTTTACTTCTTTAATAGAAATGGTATTTATACTTCTCAGCTATGTTACATGGACTCTTTAAAAGTAGTGAAGTACACGCGGCAGACACTTTTGGTTGGACATGTACTTAAAAACATGTCCAGCCATTCAATTTTATTATATTATTATTTAAAATGTGTCAATTGCTTATATTGAGCACTATGATACATAAAAGCATTACTTTGCTCAAGAAAATAAAATAAAATGAATATTTAGTAGTGTCCATCTGTTTGGAGATTTCACACATCGGACGCATGGATACATACTTCTACCTGACACACGTACCCGAGTCCGTATAACATAGCTTTTCAGTTGCTCTCTCTATTTGTAAGATAATATGCAAGTTAATTTGAGTAGTTAATTGTGAGATACTTCTCATGGTGAAGGGAACGTCATGAGTAGTTTTTTTTCCTTTTGTTTGGTAATTAAAAGTTATAATCGATTCTTGAATTCTGCAGTTGATCATTTTATTTATTTATTTATTTATTTATTTATTTTATTTATTTAAATTTTAAATTTTGTTTGTTGTGAAGTATTTTAATTTTTTAATGAAGTTATAGTACATATTTTAGATATATCACAATATTCAGTTAGCTATTTTATAAATTGCATTTGGTATTGCATAACTAGAGTGTGCTTTCTAATTAAAAGGAAAAGGTAAAAAAAATCTATCTTTTGCTTACTTCTTTTTCATACATATTAATTTTCTTCTCAAACTATCTCAATCTGCCAAGTCATAGCCGATACCAAGTTGTAGGGGGGTCCAACATCTTTTTTTTGGAGATTGATACTTAAATTTGAAGTTTAGTGTAGTTGATATGCGAAGTTTTCATCCCCTTAGAAGTTTTAGGCATTTCTTACATTGCTTAGCTATTGACCCTCAGAGATGAGTGTGCGCTGGAGCGGTCATTCTGAAATTTTCCCTTACAAGTTTTTACATCATCTTCACCACCTTCAACAACTTTAAAAGGAAATTCGATTCATTTTTTCCGTTTTCAATAAAGCGTACAGATATGGAGATTTTGGGTAGAGAGGCATAGGCTATGGAGGAGAGGCATCTACTATAGATATGGAGAGGTGGTTGGGTTGGTGTTCTTTGATGGTGAGATCTCCGGCTGGTCTAGGCTTGTGGAAGAACATCCGTTAGGGGTGTGTTGAATTCTCCAAGAATATTTGCTTTAAGGTGAGAAACAGGCGCCTCGTTAGCATCTAGGAGGATCCTTGGTGAGAGAGTCCTTCCGAGATTAACTGGGATTGTGAGGGATAGGCATACTCTGGTTGCTCCTTATAGCATCTTGACGACGGGAGGTTGAGTTGGGAGTCTGGGACATGCAGTTTGTGAGGCTCTTACATGATTGGGAGCTTGGAGGATTTGGTTGAGTTCATGGCTTTGCTATACAGTCAGGTTTTTCCTGCGAGGAGGATGGATGGGTGTATATAGATGCAGACATAGCCTTCATTCTACTCTCCTCAGCCTGAATATACGAAACTACATTTCTAACAGAACTAGGGGCCGGATACCTGCCTAACACTTGTACCCTGGCATGCTCGTATTTCGGATGCAGGCCACTCAAGAACTCAAAAGATTCGATTCCTTTCTACCATAGCTTGAAATGCTTTAATATCTGCTGCACACACAGGTATGTAGTCTTGGTATTGATCTAACTCTTCCCATTTACCGCGTAGAGTCTGGTAATATGTAGCAAGAGTTTAGTCTTCCTGCTTGAATCTTGAAATCTCTTATTGGAGATCATACAATGTTGCAAAATTACCGAGGAATACGTCTCTTTCACAACATCCCATAGCTATTTAGTTGTTTTCATAAGCAAAAACCCCTTGTTGATTTGTGGCTGCATTGACTGCAACAACCTTGTCATAACTAGTGCATTATTTGCACTCCACTTTTTGAATTTAGGATTGCTCTTGGAGGGATATGTGACAATCCCTTCCGCATGGTCGATCATCCTACGACTAATGATATGCATACGAGTAGATTGAACCCATTCCATATAGTTCGTCTCATCCAGCGTAACAGTCATAATACAAATGCCTGGATGGTGATCACTACTACCTCCCATTGGAGTCTCACTAGAAGAAGTTCCAGGTCCTTTTGAAGTCACCTCTGAGCTAGACATTTTATCAAACAATTTTTGGATATACACTCCTTAGAAACAGAACATCAACAAAATGTGTAGAGAACCACCTCTCTAGCATACTAACATCAACTAGAGAGATTACCATCTTCTGAGATGCATAAAAAATGGCCACATAGTCTCCACACAAACCCTAGAAAGTAACAAAGTAGACCATACCAGAATCGTGAGCGACGAAGAAAAAAAAGTTGTTGCAGAACCACACGAACACGAAAAAACACTGATCGAGACTGCAATCAATCAAAAATAGGTCAGACAAATCCCATCTTGGAATCTCTTCAAAATCTTTCACACCCACTAGGGTTTACACAAACTTGCTCTAGGGTTTCAACTACACACCTTAGAGCTTTACAAACCATGCTCTGATACCATGTTGACTTTTATAGATAATCAAAACAAGAGTAAAGTACAAGAAGATGAAGAGAAGAAAAAGGAGAGAAAAGGAGAGAGTGATAGGGAAAGGGAGAGAGAATGAAAAAGTAATTTCATCCTTCCACCACATTCTATTTATACTAAGAAGTTTCAAAAATTACACATGAGCACCCTACATTGTATAAGCAATAACAAATAAGCCTCTGACATCAAGAGTGTCAATGATAAAGTCCCACCCAACTATGTCAAATGCCTTCTTAATGTCAACTTTCAAAGCACTCCTAGGAGAGAAAGCATGCTTGTGGTAACCATGCAGAAGCTCATCGGTAAGCAAAATACATCACTGATTTTCCTACCCTGAACAAATGCTGTTTGAGTAGGGTCAATAATGTGAGGCAAAACAGGCTAAATTTTCATGACAATCAATTTGGTGATACACTTAAAAATGAGATTGCAGCAGGAAATTGGTCTGTAATCATTAAGAGGTGGGATTTTGACACTTGGGGACGAGAAATGTAGGAGGAATTGATCTCTTTAAGTAGCTTGCCATTGAGAAAGAACTCTCTCTAATGGCTTTAATGATGGAATGACCCAGTATACCTTGATTTATGAAAGAAATGCCTATGAACCCATCATGCCCTGGTGCCTTATCTTGATTGAAAGAATTCATACCATTGGATGATTTCAATGTCCGTTGGGATGCTAGTGGGTGAATGGTGAAAGTGGGAAGGGATAGGCTTGGAAATGAAAGGTGAGAGGGCAGCTATGCCTGGCTAAGCAGGAGGAAATCTACCTGATAAATTCTGAAATTGATCAATAACCTCATGTCGGATAGCAGCAGGGTCGTTGATTAGAGTACCTTGTCTGTCAGTGAGAGAAGTGATCTTTTTCCTGTTAATTATGAACTTGATGAATTTGTAGGAGTAGTTGTTTTTATCACTAAGGTTGAGCCAATTGATCCTTTATTTCTGTCTAAGACTGCTCTCCTCAGCATTAACCGACTGACTGTAGGAGCTAAGTTTCTTTCCTTCAGTCTACTGCTCTCCTCAGCATTAATCGACTGACTGTAGGAGCTAAGTTTCTTTCCTTCAGTCTAAGTGTAGGGTTGGAAGGATCCTTGTCAAGATCAAACTGACATTTACCATGGTCTTGCTTAGCGGCATTCACTTTGCTTGACAGATCAGAGAATTCCCTTCTGCATTTGTCTCTCAGTTCATGTTTAAGCAATTTCAGTTTTTGGGAAACTTGATACATGGAGGTTCCTTTGACGAAAGTTCTCCAGACTTTCTCAACTGAGGCGATGTACTGGGGATGATGAAGCAAACAGAATGAACAGTGAACAGAAGTCTTACTGTAGTAAGAAAGACTAGAAATACTCCAATCACCGCTGGAGCCTAGATATCTAAAGGGAAATCTGGGAAAACCCTGAAGAACTGTTTATACTCTAAAAATAACTCAAATTGATATTGATTAAGAATAAAATACAACAGATGTAGAGGTCTGTTCTTTTTATAATTAGACTATTAATGACTCCAATTCTCGAGACTGACTTTTGGACTACCCACAGAGCATTGATAACAATTTTTATTCCCAGGACATATTCAGATTTCCACACCTTAATTACTATTTAATAGACATTGACTAAACACTTTTCAAGGCACCATTGACTGCC